GAGCTGTGACCTAACTGTATCTTCATATTTCTGTCTATTGTACTCTACTTTTTTTAAAAAGCCTATATTTGATCAATTTACTCTAAGCACAAGTTATTTACTATTAAAGTCTACATAGGAATTACCTTTGCCCTCCATTTAGAAGAGAACAAAGAGCACGTGCTGGAGTCACATTATTAACCATGGCCTTCAGTGCCTTGTCTACCTCTTCCCTTATGAAAGTGTTGGATTCCCCAGCCTTGTGCAAAAGGACTTTTACTGCATTATCTAGTTCTTGATCCATGCTCTTTTTCAGGTGGGTGAACAAATCCCCTAAACACACCACAGCAGCTCGAGAAACACCTGAGCGTAAATTCTTGACCTGCATACAGGAAAAAACCCAAAAATCAATGAAAAATGGTGAGAAAATAGACCGTAAAATAAATAAAGCTTCATGTTTTCCCCTCGTCATTTTTAAGTAACATTAAAAGCAACTGTGAAATGTATTTCCAGCTTGATTCACAATGGGTAAGAATTAAGTTACTCATAAAACCATTATGAAGTTACAATCTATGTTTTCAGTCTGTTAGTCTCAGCTCACCCTTGTGAGAGTGTCCAACAGAGGAAAACTCACCACAAGTGAACATAACAATTCACTTCAGAGAGCTATAAAATACATATATACACACTTAGAGCGACTGGGATATTCTGATAGGAAAATTTAACCTCTTGAGCCACAGCCAAACTTGTTTCGTGGAGCTTTGCAGTGAGAACAGGAGCATGGTAGGCAGACAAGCACCTGACAGAGTTCAAGCCTTCAATTTTCTTCTCCCTGTGTGCAAATAAAGAGATTTAAATTCCAACCATTAGCAAATTTTCATGAAAATATTAAAATGTGGAATTCTAAGAAGTCAAATACCAAATAAATTAGACTGTTAAGTGAAGCAATGGCAAATAATCATAGAATAATTGAATGGGTTGGGTTGGAAGGGACCTTAAGGGTCATCTCATTCCACCCCCTGCCATGGGCAGGGACACCTTCCACCAGCCCAGATTGCTCCAAGCCCCATCCAACTTGGCCTGGAACACTCCCAGGGAAGACGCAGCCACAGTTGCTCTGGGCAACCTGTGCCAGTGCCTCAGCACCCTCACAGGGAAGAAATAATGGAGAAAATTCTTTCCAAGTGAGTCCTTTTACTGCAGGAATATTTGAGCACCCCAGGCTCTCAGGCCTGTTACTCAGCTCTGCTCTCAGCCTGCACTGGTGGCAACTAAAGAATCTCTTCCCTTCCCCAAGTTAAAAGGCAGCAGCACTGTAACCATACTGCACAGTCAGGAAGCACCAAGGACGTGCTTCTGTTCCTCAGAAAGCACCAAAAAGGTGTTGGTGTGTCCTCTCCAGAGCAGTGCTGAAGCTCAGATATCTCTCAAGTCCTTGAAAGTTCAGTTACTAACCCTCATTTACAACAGTTACAGTTTAATCTCAAATTGGACTGAAAGGAGCATTTTCCCCACCTATCACTTGCACCTCCCTGTTTGTGACGTTCTGTCCCTTTTGGTGCATTTTCTAGGTACGTCACCCACAAAGCTTTACCCCAGCACCCACCAGTCCTCGTCAGCCAGGAGCAGCAGAGCCTCTGCAAGTGCCGCGTCGGGCCTGGCCAAGGGCTGCAGCTCCGCGGGGTCCAGCGCCTCGGGGCTGTGTGTCACCGTGGGGCTCTGCTTCTGGGGCCGGCCCCGAGCCCCTGGGGACACCTCTGCACAGCCTGGGGGGACAGGGAACAGGGCTGAGGGACACCAGCACTCACAGGAACCAAAGAAGAGACGTTTGAGGTGTAGATTGCTGCTGGTGGTGTTCAAGAGGCAGAGAATCACTGAATGGTTTTGAGTCTAGTTGAGATTAGATTAGAAAATAAGCAGTGACAAATAATCATAGAATCCCAGAACGGTTTGAGGGGGAAGGACCTTAAAAGTCATCTCATCACACCCTCTGCCATGGGCAGGGACACCTTCCACCAGCCCAGGTTGCTCCAAACCCCATCCAACCTGGCCCTGGAACATTCCTAGGGATGGAGCAGCCACAGCTGCTCTGGGCAACCTGTGCCAGTGCCTCACCACCCTCACAGCCAGGAATTCCTTCCCAATATCCCACCTGTCCCTGCCCTCTGGCAGTGGTCTGTGTCCTGTCCCTCCAGGCCCTTGTCCCAAGTCCCTCTGCAGCTCTCTTGGAGCTCCTTTAGGCACTTCCACTAGCCCAGGCTGTCCAAGCCCCCTGGCCTAGAACACTCTCAGGGCTGGGGCAGTTTCCATCATTCAGCATTTCACTCATGTAAATTAATTCTTTTGCAAACAATTGCCACTTTAAAAAGTCACAAGTACAAATATAGTTGTTTTTTAATCTAATGTCACAAAAATGGGTTGTTTAATGTAAAAACAGATACACAATGTGCTAAAACACAACAACCTCAACCTCAAAGACTCACTTGAGGGATTCTGGACATCTCTGAGCACCATCAGTATGAGCTTCTGTTCTGAAAAACTTCCTAGTGAATTTTTAAAGGCATCTCGGTGCCAAAATGTACCCAAAATGGGTTTTGGGGAGAGAAGGGAGTCATTTTGCCATTGATTAATTTTCTCATTTAAGCTGCTGAAGAAATGAAACCCCTCTGGTATTTCAAACATCTTCCTAACACCTTATAGCTGAAAAATGATGAATTGAATCCCTAATAATGAAGTAACTCTCCTCCACCCCCACAGGACTAATGTTCCAGAGCTCCTCAGGACTGTCCATTGCACAAATAAATGCTATTTTGGGGCTGTCCCACTCCACTTGCCCAGATACTTAAGCAGTTTGCTGTCCCAGCTCACCAGAATCTAGCAAGAGTGAACACTTGGACCTCTTCAAACTGGATGTTCTTCTCAAGGAAGGATTCAAGGCCACATTCTCTAAGGACAAAGAGCCATTCCTTGGTGATGTTAATATATCTCCACAGATATTTAACTCTAGAAAAGCAAATGTCCAAATTACAACAACAGATCAGTAAAAAATAGTATTTTCAGTCCTAATTTGTCTTTTTAACTACAGGCTTTCAAATATTTCCCATGACACTTAATTTTTGCATTATATGACTAAACTTTTATAGTTTAATTGATAAACTTACATAGTTTAATCAGCATGAAATCAATTCTAGTTTCACTAAAGGGTCATTATTTGTTGCAATTATCAGCAAATCTCCATTTCAGCAGCATTTAACAGTGAATATTAATTCCTCACTTTCTACTGTCAGTCTCTCTGGTTCACTCGTACTCAGTCTAAGCCTTTGCCAAAGGCTTTCTTCCTTTCCTTCCAGGTCTTTGAGTTCCTGATGCTCTTTATGGCTTTGTTCTTTTTCTTCTTTTCTCTTCCTCCTCAGTTTATCCTGAGCAGATTTCGACATGGTCACTTTTACCTGCAAAAAAGTCATGCACAAGTTACCCAATAACTCATTCCCCAGTGCCCGATGTTGGCTCAGGTCAGCATGGAAATGCAGTACTCTCACCAGTGGGGTCTGACCCTGATCTCTCACATGTTTCGGACACTTTTTACTCCTCAAGAAAACTCAGCAACATTTAACACATCCCAACATTTGCTCCTTGGAATTTGATCCCTCCAAGGATTTCTATCTTCAGTGGAAATCAGAAAATCAAGGCACTTTTTACCATTAACTTCAAGTTTTACTCATCTTAAAATGTGATTTTAAAGGCTTTATTGCAATTTCTCATTGCAATTTTTTAAGCATTTGCATCAGAATTCACTCAGATAAATCTTGCTCTGTGTTTTAACAGACATAAATAGTATTTACCAAACAGGGAACCAGATATTCAGACAGGTTTTTCTCAGGAGCTGGACAAGACCCAGCCAATCCCTCCTTGCACATCTGCATGTGCAGTGGGGGTCAGGGAGGATGTTTCCCAGCTCCACTCTCTCCTGCAGCCCTTCTCCCGGAGTTTTGAGCTAGATGGGAAGCTTCTGACATGGCAATTTGCCATAATCCAACATCCAGGTGGATCCAAAGGGAAAATCAGGGAGCAGCAACTTGATGGCTTTGGGTGTTTCAATCACACTCTTGTTGCCATGACACAGGGACAGCACCAGTGTGTCCAGCTGGATTCACACCCAGCAAACAGGATGAGATGGCACCCAAGTCCTGCAGTTCTTACCAGTCTTTCATTCTCAGCATGGAAATGGGAAGCACCATTGTGCTGGAAGCTTCTCCCACAGATCCCTGAGGGTGGCTCAGTCTCCTCCCTGACAGCCTGGGCATCTCCATTGGCCACACAGGGCATGGACTGGCTGTGTGCTCGTGCAGGAGGGCTCCCAAACACACCTGAAAGGCACAGCAGAGAATACCACAATGGGTGGAGTGGGAAAGGGCTTTGAAGCT